TAAGGGGAAAAATCAATTATTGATTTTTAGAACTTATTTTAGAATAATTGTAAAATTAAGTAATGACAGTACAGTTGCCATTTTTCAAAATGGCAGTTGCATGTAAAATGAGAATCTGATTCCTGGCCAGTGGCACATATTTGCCTCATTTATCTCTATCCAGTCACAAGTTGGCCTTGTTACAGCAGACACAGAATCCTTTACCTAGTGATGGAGAAAATAAGAAGACAACCTTTACTACAGTTTAATGATAATATGAAAGAATATAAAAATAATCTCACCCATTATGATTCTAATAGAGTTTGAAGCAAGACCAGTTAATCTCTATCTTACCATCCAGCCATAAAGTGGTAGGTAACTCAAGAGACATCATCCTTTGAAAGACAGATTTTAAAATACCAAGAAACCCCAATATTACTCAGGGGGGGGGGGGTTATATTATTTAATAATATAGCATTTCATTGTTTTCCTGAAAGAAAATAACCTTTTAGAAGAAACAATTATCTATAATAATAAAAGCATAATATGCTAATTAAACTGATGACCTTTCAGACATCCTTCCTTCCAGACAAAGCCACTGCTAAGGCATGCAGGGGCCATGGCCAAGGCTCTTTCACGAATTTTGTGCATTAGGCCTCTAGTTGTTTTATAAAACACTGGAGAACTATCATTAGTTAACAGAATTCTCTGCTTCATCTTTGGGAAATACCATTTTATTGGCATGTTAGACCCAGTCTTGTATCAAGAATTTCATGGTGCATTTTTAAATTAAAATCCACTGAAACATAATTTTTGAAGTTTCTTAATTTCAAGACAGACAATATATCTAACTTAGAATAATTATAAAATTAAATAATGATGTTATATAAAAGATTCCCTCTTCTGAGTTAGATTCATGCCTTCAACTATTTATATTATTAAGCTTTCGGGGCTATTCTGGAACAAGATGTCTCTTCAGAAACCCCTCTAGAAAGTTTCTTACATTATTTATGTCACTACTAAAGCTATTTCCCTTCCCTTAAAGGACAACTGCTTATGTACAAAAGAAAAAATCATTATTAAGCCAACAATGTTGATAAACAATTCTGATTTGCTCCTAGCTGCCCCATAGTTGCCTTTTATGCACTAACTGGAGGCCCAATGCACAAAATTCATGCAATAGGCCTTCCTTCTCCCAGCTGCCAGCACAGGATTCCCTCTGATGCCAGGGACCCCCCCCTTCCCTCACAGAGGGAGGCCCTGCCCACTCGCCACAGGCCGCTGGTCAGTCACCTGGGCCTCCCTCTGCAGGGTGATCATAGGGTGATAGCCAGGCCAGACCACTCACATTGCACCCACCTTGGCTATCCTGGCACCAGTGGGTGTCATAGTGTGGTCCCAAATGGTTGTTTTGAGGCCGTTTGGTCAATTTGCATATTATGCTTTTATTATATAGGATGATTTCATAAATCTCTGGACTAAAAAATTGTCAAGTAACCAGTTAATTTAATAGTATCTTTTCAAAGCTATTCTCATATCCTCTCAATTAGAAGTAAATTTTAATGATTTTTATGTAAATGGTTTTAATCTCACAAGTCAGATTAACTTATACAATTTTTGAAAGCTCTGAATTTTTATTTGCTTATTTTCTCTTGCAAGTTTAATATACTTACCAAAAAGCTCCACATTCCACATCATCAAAGCTTTCATCTTGACTCAAAGGAAAAAAGAAAAAAATTAAAAGCCAAAATTAACTATTTTCAGCCTCAATTTTCAGTATATGTGCTGCCGAAGCGAGCACTTCAGCCTCAATTTTCAAATATCATTTGTTTTCACCTAATTCTAGTAAATTTATATAGTGTAATTCTAAACTTCGCTATTTGACATTTCCCTGCTGAAGAAAAGCAGTAGAAACTTTTCACCATCTGTGCTGTTTTTGGAAACCAGCCTCTCCCATCTGTGGTCTGGGCCAAGTAGCCTTGAGTAGGGGACATGGAGGGGGAGGGGTGCGCGTTGCCTTCACAACTGTGTTCAGAACGCTAACTCTAGGAATTACCAGTTGTTACTCTGCAGTTGAATGTTCTGGAGAATGGCTCTCTATTAATAAGGAACCAACAAAAGAAATAGGTAACTTTCTACATTCAATAAGCCATAAAAGAAAATACCAACTAGGAGAAGGGAAAAGAATTGATAGAAAGACCTAGTAAAAGTCGAGTCTTTACATTTTTAATAGACCATTTTCTACTAAATCAGCTAATTCTGAAGCCTTTGAATTTCAAAATCTTATGGAATTCAGTTTTTCAAACTAAGGTGCTAAGGAAGTGTTGTTTTTCAGTATAAAGAGGTTCTAACTAACTAGACTTCAGTTGAGATTCAGATAGGTTCTAACTAGACTTCAGTTGGGGGGGGGGGGGTATGGTGAGTATACAGAACTTGCCCAACAGTGGGGTGGGGGAGGGTGGCGCGGGAAGGGGCGGTCTGCCTCTCTGTTTAGAACGTGGTGCAAAGTGAGGTTGCTAAATTAGAAGTAACAGGAGGAAGACATAGAGTCCATTATCTCAAGCAATATACAAATGTGCTAGTAATTTTTGTTTTCGTGAGAGTTGTTTTTCAACAACTACCACCACCACCGCCACCGCCGAAAAAGTTAACTGGCCTCAAACGCACCTTTATTTCATCTTCTATTTCCAAAATCTCAACAACTTTGGTTGTCAAGCTCTACTCACACCTGTGAAACCTGATAAATGGCAAAAATCTTGACAAGACAACAAGAGAGGGAGGAGGATAGGAAAAGGGAGAGGGATGTGGGACCGGGTGGGAGGGAAAGGGGTGGGAGGGAAAGGAGGGGGGGGAGGTAGAAGTTAAGGGAGAGGGAGGGGGAGGGGAAGAAGAGAAAGGGGGTGAAAGAGGGGGGGAAACGAGTACATGCACTTTGCCACCCTCCTGGCCAACAGAAATGCTAGTTCCAGAGATTACAGTAATTACAGCCCCAGCATGAATTCCATACAAGCGCTAAATGAAACTGCACATCAATTAAAAAAAAATAAACACTCCATTCTAGGAGAAAGACAACCCCCTGGGAAGTCCTAACTAGCATAAATGAACCTGCCAGGCTGCAAGCCCCACGTCTCTCCACCCCCCAATCCCCCCCTCCCCCGCCCACCCCCACTCCACACCTCCATCACCACCACCACTTTAAGGTAGTCGCGGAGCTGGCGCGGGCACCACCGGTCGGCGGTGTCCTCAGTGCCGCCAACAGCAGCCAGGGACCCTCTCCACTCCGCAGACCGCGAGGACGCTCATGTCAGCTCCCGGGCGCAGCAGCACCTCCCAAGGAAGAGAAGGCAGCTCTGGCAAATACACAAAGATGTGAACTTTGCATAGAAGAACATGTTCCAAAAGTACAAGGTGGAGAGTGAATTCAGCCGCAGTTTCCAGTCTATCCTATTTATAAGTTTTTCTTTTTCTTTTCTTTTTTTTTTTTTTTTTAGGTGAAGGGAGTTTTTCTTTCCTTAAGGAAGTACTGGGTCCCGAGGGCCTTACATATTTATCTCATCTTATTATCAAAATCCCCTTTCAGGACACGGAGGCCCGCCAGGTCACTCGGCGGGCAGAGGCAGGAGAGCCCCGGGGCTGCCCCTGTACCTCGCGCCCTTGGTGTCAGCAGGTGGGCGCGGGACCCCTCCGTCCGGGACGTCCCCCGTCCTACCTCACCATCCAAAATGTACTGCCATCTTTCCCTTTTCTCCCACATTTCCAAGCCTCAAAGACCATTATTTTGAGAAATCCAAGGAGGGCACCCTTTCTCGGATTCCCCACAGCGCCCGGCCCCAGCTCACGCAGGGGCGCGGGCCCCCATGACCCACAGGCCACCCACATTCGCGGAGATTCTTAAACGGGGACTTAATTTGTTTAAAAAAAAAAAAAAAAACGGGCCTAGAAGAGCGTGTGCCGAGTTAAAACTTCGCCCCCGGCCCCCAAGAGCAGACTTAGAAATGGAACCGAGTCCTCGGACGCGCGTTGAATGCGGGGCGGAGCGGGCGGGCAAGGGCGCAGTCGTGGCAGAAAGGCTGCCTCTGCGGTCAACCCCAAGGTTACCGGGCTCCCCGCGGCCACCGCGCATGCCTGCGGCCCCCGGACGGCCTGAAGGGGGGCCGGGCCTGCGGAGCGAGGAGACCCCGCCCCGATTCCTGAGATTGGCGTGCGGGCCGAGGGCGGAAACCGGGCCGCGCCGTATAAATATTCATGAGGCGGCGGAGCCCGGCGGGGCCGCGGCGGGGAAGTTCGGCGAAGGCGCAGCTCCCGCCTCGGAGGAGGTAGCTGTGGGCGCCGATCGCGCCGCTCAGGTGTCTGCTCCGCCTTCCGGTCTGGATTTGTTCTGCATGTCTAGCGAGGAGGGGCAGCCTGCGCCTCGCCGATCGCTGGCTGCAGCACGAAGCGGACTTTTGCCGGACCGGCGCCGTGGAGAGAGGGATACGGCCTGGGCGAAGGCGGCTCCCTGCTCCGGAGGCGGCGGAGCGGCTTTGGGGACGAGCATGAACCCTCGGGGGCGTGAGGGGCCGCAGGGCTGACCCCGCGCGGAGCGGCCTGGCCCAGCCATCTTGCCTGCGTGCGGCGGCCCGAAAGGAAACTTGCTGCGCCGCCGCCCTCCGCGCTCCGCCAAGTCCCCGGCGCCGCGAGACGCGGAGAGGACGCGAGAGGGAAGGACCATGAGCCGGCGGCCGGCCTCTCTGCTCCAAACGGGCTGAGCTCGAGCAGGCAGATCCTCGGGGACTGGAGCGCACTCCTGCAGCCACCCTAAGCTCCCGGCGCGGCGGGCTGCGCCGTGTGGACGTGTCCAGTGAGGGATTAGGGACTGGACAGATAAACAACCTCTCGGGAGAAGCAGGAGAAAGACGAGCAGGGCACTCACTCTCTTCTCTGGCGCGCGCTCTCTCTCTCTCTCTCTCTCTCTCTCTCTCTCTCTCTCTCTCTCCTCCGGAGCCCCTCTGCTCACTGCCAGGAGGGCGAGGGGACGAAGCATGGAGTGGAGTTACCTGTTGGAAGTGACCTCCGTGCTGGCCGCCTTGACGCTGCTGCAGCGCTCCAGCGGCGCCGCGGCCGCCTCGGCCAAGGAGCTGGCCTGCCAGGAGATCACGGTGCCGCTGTGCAAGGGGATCGGCTATAACTACACCTACATGCCCAACCAGTTCAACCACGACACGCAGGACGAGGCTGGTCTGGAAGTGCACCAGTTCTGGCCGCTGGTAGAAATCCAGTGCTCGCCCGACCTCAAGTTCTTCCTGTGCAGCATGTACACGCCCATCTGCCTGGAGGACTACAAGAAGCCCCTGCCTCCCTGCCGCTCGGTGTGCGAGCGCGCCAAGGCCGGCTGCGCGCCCCTCATGCGCCAGTATGGCTTCGCCTGGCCGGACCGCATGCGCTGCGACCGGCTGCCCGAACAGGGAAACCCGGACACGCTGTGCATGGACTACAACCACACCGACCTCACCACCGCCGCGCCCAGCCCGCCGCGCCGCCTGCCGCCGCTGCCGCCTCCCGGCCAACAGCCGCCCTCCGGCGGCGGCCACGGCCGCGCGTCCGGCGCCAGGCCGGCGTCCCGGGGAAAGGGCGGGGGCGCGGGGTCCCCCCCTCCTCGCGGCGGCGGGAAGGCGCGGCCCCCTGGCGGCGGCGCGGCGCCCTGCGAGCCGGGCTGCCAGTGCCGCGCTCCCATGGTGAGCGTGGCCAGCGAGAGGCACCCGCTGTACAACCGCGTCAAGACCGGCCAGATTGCCAACTGCGCGCTGCCCTGCCACAACCCCTTCTTCAGCCAGGACGAGCGGGCTTTCACCGTCTTCTGGATCGGCCTGTGGTCAGTGCTTTGCTTTGTGTCCACCTTCGCTACCGTGTCCACCTTCCTCATCGACATGGAGCGCTTCAAGTACCCGGAGCGGCCCATCATCTTCCTCTCAGCCTGCTACCTCTTCGTGTCCGTGGGCTACCTGGTGCGCCTGGTGGCGGGGCATGAGAAGGTGGCGTGCAGCGGCGGCTCGCCGGGCGCAGGGGGCGCGGGCGGCGCAGGCGGCGCGGCGGCTGCGGGCGCGGGCGCGGGCGCGGGCGGGCCTGGCGCGGGCAGCCCGGGCGGGCGCGGGGAGTACGAGGAGCTGGGCACGGTGGAGCAGCACGTGCGCTACGAGACCACGGGCCCGGCCCTGTGCACCGTGGTCTTCCTGCTGGTCTACTTCTTCGGCATGGCCAGCTCCATCTGGTGGGTGATCCTGTCGCTCACGTGGTTTCTGGCCGCTGGCATGAAATGGGGCAACGAGGCCATCGCCGGCTACTCGCAGTACTTCCACCTGGCCGCGTGGCTCGTGCCCAGCGTGAAGTCTATCGCCGTGCTGGCGCTCAGCTCCGTGGACGGCGACCCCGTGGCGGGCATCTGCTACGTGGGCAACCAGAGCCTCGACAACCTGCGCGGCTTCGTGCTGGCGCCGCTCGTCATCTACCTTTTCATCGGCACCATGTTCCTGCTGGCCGGCTTCGTGTCCCTCTTCCGCATCCGCTCGGTCATAAAACAGCAGGGCGGCCCCACCAAGACGCACAAGCTGGAGAAGCTCATGATTCGCCTGGGCCTCTTCACCGTGCTCTACACCGTGCCCGCCGCAATCGTGGTCGCCTGCCTCTTCTACGAGCAGCACAACCGCCCGCGCTGGGAGGCCACGCACAACTGCCCGTGCCTGCGGGACCTGCAGCCGGACCAGGCGCGCAGGCCTGATTATGCGGTGTTCATGCTCAAGTACTTCATGTGCCTGGTCGTGGGCATCACCTCAGGTGTGTGGGTCTGGTCAGGCAAGACGCTGGAGTCGTGGCGGGCCCTGTGCACTCGCTGCTGCTGGGCCAGCAAGGGTGCCGCGGTGGGCGGAGGTGCGGGCGTGAGAGACGCTGGCGGGCCGGGCGGGGGCGGGGGCGCCGGCGGGGGACCGGGCGGGGGAGCGGGCTCGCTCTACAGTGACGTCAGCACAGGCCTGACGTGGCGATCTGGCACTGCCAGCTCACTGTCTTACCCAAAGCCGATGCCATTGTCCCAAGTCTGAGCAGAGGCCAAGTGCTGCGAAGGGACACTCCACGGGCTGATGTTCCCACCCCTTCGCTGTTATTTTGACTGCTATCAGCATGATCACGAACTCTTAATGGTATCCATTAGCTAAGACTTAAATGACTGGCTGAGAACAAAGTACCTGGCATTGAGGACTCCCAGACCCAGCCTCCTTTCCTCCATTGATATGCGAGGAACTCCTCTAGGGAGGTGAGAGACATTCATCTCTATTGGCAGAGAAGGGTGGACTCTGCAGCGTTCCCAGAACCCAAGGCTTGGAGCCTTCCTTGGTTGCCATTGGTGGAACTTGAAGCCAGATCTACAGATTTTACCGGAGGGACCTATTTTTCTCCTATGTAAACTCTTACTCCTTTTGCATCCTAAAGGAGGGATGATCACAATCTAACTGGATTGCATGGTTTGGGTATTCTTAATGACCAGGCAAATGCCTTAATTATACACCCCAAGTAAATATGGGTTTCTTACACTAGAGGATGTATTTATATAATTATTTGCTAAGTGTAAAAAATGTAAAATATGTACATATCCAGAGATATACAGTCTGTACATTTTTTTGTAAAAAGTTTAGAGGTCATTCCTGTAAAAACAAATATAAGTATTCTATTTTGTCAATAAAGTGGCTTTTGATAAATGATTTAAACATTGCCCTCTCCCCCTACTTCTTCTAAGCTGTTACCTTTAAAGTGTTTGCTAAGAACATGTTGGAAAAATGGACCCTTTCTGGTTTCTCCATACACTGGTCTTAGGTATGGAGGAAAAGACCTGTTAATTCCAGTTCTTAAGTTGTTAGTAACGTAAAAATCACTGTTGAACTGAAATCAAAACTGAGTTTTTCACCTTCCAAAGAGACAGTGTTTTTTTTTATTTTTATTTTTCATGACCTCACTCATTTATGGATAATAAAGAACATTATAAACTGATGAACCAAAAGATAGATATAGAGACAATAAAGCAACAAGGAGACAGTGTTTTTAATGGTAGCTCTTTTTGATCCATGGATAGTGCTCACTTTAGCATGTGTATATGGTAGTAATTCCACTCAGGCCCTGTTATTTATCTTGTATAATATTACTAAACGATTTCAAACTCCACATTTTTTCCTCTCTAATGTCCACAATTTTGAAAGCACCTGGACTGAACATGCTGTTGAAGTGTAAAGGTGAATGTTTTAAACCCTCAGAATACACTGTACAGTATGTGTAAGTCACTTGACACTCTGTGGTGGAACAGGCATCCTTAATGGATTAAACTAATGGTTAACATCTTAATGACCTTCCAGGCTTGTGTATATCAAATGTGCTGCTTTTCTTGGAGAAAAGGCTATTGTTCTTCTGTCAACACTAAACTAATTTATTTGAGCAGAAGGCTGTTGAATTAGCAGAAGAATGCTTTGGCAATTGTTGAACTTTTTACCTGTCTGCCCAGTAGCCCAGCACATCATTTCTTTGAGAGGAGCTAAATGAATAGTGTTAATCTGTAGGGAACTTGGTCTTTTGAGTTTGAAAAACTTTGATCTTTTCTCTCCAAATGTGCTGTAAAACGGACGTTTCTTTAGCTGTTGCCAGGCTCCTCTTGGTACATACCAATTGGCCACCATGGAGCCTTAGCATTCTCCCATTAAAGGGATGTGGGACTTTTACTTTAAAAGGGAGAGAGCTGAGGAGAGGAAGACTTGTAACAGTGAAGACCAGAAGCATAAGTATGCTCAGCCTTTTAAACAGCTTTTCCAGGCATTGTTAGCCAGCCTGCAGGCAGCTAGCAATGGGCTGGAGCATCATAGAAAAGGGCTCTGAATGCCCTACAGGTGGTCTGCACATATAATCCCCCAATTTAAAGCATTTTCCTTTGCTGGACAATTATATTACAAAACTCCCTTCTTTTTTGCTCCTAATTGAACCAATGAACTATTTATTATACACGTTTTTCCTTTAAAATAAAAAAAAAAAAAACCCTCAGTGCCTAAATTTTATTGATTAAATTCTGACAGGTTTTCTGAACTGAACCTTGAAAATCACACCAGGAGTAAAATCTTCAGCAGACATTTCTCTTTTCCATATATTTTTATTTCTCCTGCTTGTTATTTTCTGACAGATTAGCAATAATTTAAAAGTAATTGGTAAGGTTGCATGTTCATACTGAAAGGATAGCCCCAGGTCCCTTATTAATCTGTCAATCAAGATAAAAAATGGGCAGCTACCCTGCTAATGATGGGGACATCAAACTGTGAGATGGAGAACTTACTCTCTGCAGCCCGCTAAGATGTTTGTTCTCTTTACTTTTCCCAATAGGAATATTTAACGGTTTTGAAAAATGCGTTTTAATTAATAGGACAGAAACTACTTCCCTGGCTTCTCTTGGAGACTTTTTAAGATGTTTCTTGGTAAAAAAAAAAAAAAAAAAAAAAAAAAAAAAAAAAAAAATTGCAAATCCTTTCCAGAGTTATTCTTAATGTTCATTGAATTGTTGAAATTAGATACGCAATACTAGTGAGAACACCCACTTTAGCTGTCATGCATATTTTATTTTTTTAAGTCAGAGGTGCTGTAAAATATTCACCTCCCAGCAGTTTTATTCATTAAAAAATTACAATTTTGTAACTTAGGTTCCAGTAAGTGACCTGCATCTAACCCGTGTGGTGATCACTATGTGGTTTATGTATGTATATAAACCAGCCATAAACTTTACACTTTCAGTTATAAAGTAGGATTTGAGGGCATCCCTACAACCTACCACATATGTTGGATGAAGAAAGAGCTAAAAGTCACTAGTTAGCATATGGGTTTTCTAATATAGCAGTATTTCCATTTAGACACATTTTCAACTATGTGACAGTGGAAAATGTTCCACTTTGAAGCTCTATTTCTTTATTAATTTCTTCAATATATCCTTGTAAAATGCCATATTTGATAACATAAAAAAAGTTGTAAGTGTGCTAAATATAAACAAGCTTAATAAAAAAAAAAATTTAAAAAAAAAGCCCTATTGACATTCTGGGGACAGCTCTCAGTAAAAAGATCCATACCTGTAATAACTAGAGGCTGATATTAAAACACAAGTGCCAGTTCTTTTGACTTTAAAGCTAAACCATGAGTTACAAAATTGCTAGTGCTAAAATTGTATCTCTAAAGGGAATAAAAAAAAATTGATTGGGGGTGAAAAATGAGAAGAGAATTCGGCCATTAGACAAATGAATGGGTCCCTTGACAGGGCTATACAGGTGTGTCCTTACTAACTATATGGGACAAGTGCTAGTTTTTTTTTTAATCTTTTTAAACATAGAGGATTGAGAGGGAATGTAGTTATTTTTTGGCTAGGTCAATGGGAAAAAAAAATCTAATATCATTAAAACCATTAAAGCCAAAGCTCTTAAAATTACTTATGGCAGAAGTTATGTGAAACACTTTCTACATTACAGTAAATGCAATTTGAATGCAACATAAAACAGAAGGGAGGAAATGTAGAAGTTTAAAGAACCAACTGTCAACAGTACAGTTTCTATCTTCCTTCCTTCCTTTCTTTCTTTCTTTCTTTCTTTCTTTCTTTCTTTCTTTCTTTCTTTCTTTCTTTCTTTCTTTCTTTCTTTCTTTCATTCTTTCATTCTTTCTTTCTTTCTTTAAGTAGATTTTTATTGGTTTCAAAGAGGAAGGGAGAGGAAGAGATAGAAACACCAAAGACGAGAGAATCAGTGATCAGCTCCAACCCCTACTGGGGATGGAGCCCTTGATGGGAATCGAATGCAGGACACTTTAGTCCACAGGCCGATGCTCTATCCACTGAGCCAAACCAGCTAGGGCACAGGTACAGTTTCTTAATATGTGTTGATAGCGTTGCAGATTCCTTCAGTTTGGGGGAAGGAATTCATATTGTCTCGCCAAAAGGAAAAAATAAAATCACACAAAGAGACAAAAGCAGTTACAGGGTATAGGATGCAATTTAAAGTGCAAGGGCAAACATTCAGTTGAGACTCTCCAAACTGCAAGTGTGGAGACCTTCCACATTTGACACTACACTGCCACCTTGTGGCACCACAAAGTTCCAGAACCAGGGAAGGAGCCCCACGCAGACTCCACCCAGAGGAGGGCCTACAAGCATTTTGTATTCATAATTTTAATTCTTTCTCTCAAGAACAGAAACCCCAAATTCATCAGTTTAGGGCCCCACAAGACTACAATTGAAATAAATCCTTATATTAAGGGTTATAGTAAAAATATAATTAAGCTGTTGAAGTCCCAAGGTTTAACTTCTTAAAATTATCTTCTGAGTTACATTTTTAAAGAATGGGCTGCTTCCCAAAGATCCACGATACCTTTTAATGGGAGAAAGAGTGAGTTCCGAGACATGAAGAATAGTCTGAGATGGCTTGTAGTTGACTTGGCTATTTAAATGTGTTACTTTACTGTTTCCCATATAAAGGCTATCTACTGAGACCAGTGGACACTCTTCAGTGCTGCATGTGAATGCTGTTGGGATGGGTAGGATGCAGGCTCTCCACAATATCTAGCCAGGTGTTTGTGGAAACACACCAAAGAAGAGAAACTGCTGCAAAACAAGGTCACCCAAAAAGGAAGAGAAGAGGAGCATGTGCTGTGGAATACCTGAACACTGTGGGAGAAAGATTCCCATAGCACAGCTGTGGGCAAGTCCAGGCCCTTAATGGAAGACCTGAGAGCCTCACAGAGCCCACTGCTGAGCTTCCTGTTCCTGAGGGTCAGGTGGCCGGAGAGATTAGAGTGGGGAAAAGCACTGGTTAAAAGGATGCAGACTAAAGATCTTATTTTATTGCAAATGTAGGCAGCGGCAGAGAGGAGGTGAAGTGGCCCGAGTCAGCCCGGGGCCTGAGAGGCAGGCTTTGCTGGCAGCCTCTGAGGCGGTGTGTTCAGATATTCCTATCATGATCATGGAATTTTAAAGACAAAGATCCCAGGGGCCATCGAAAATCTCACCACTCCATAAACAAGTAGCAGAGGCAAGACCTAG